TCATTCGCATAAATGTCAGTACCACATACCCATTTTTTGCACACAATTTACACAATTCAATATCCTTCAATAAACACAAATTTTCATCGCAAAGCCACATGGACGACGGATGTGTCGTCGCTATCAAGTTTTTTTATTAATTTATTTATCGAGTCCTTTTTTGATACTAGTATCGAGTCGAGTACTCAACGAGCGGGTACTCGAGTACTCGGCGTACTCGTTTCAGCACTATAAAAAATGTTGACATACATGCATATACAACGGCCATGTGCATGGATCAATGTTTTCTGAAACGAAATCGGTCAACCCCCTCCCACCCCGTAACGAAATTATTTCGTTTTGTGAAAAAAGTTCGATATTTATGGACAACCCCTAATACTTTGAAACATTGTGTAGCTCTGGAACGAGAAGAGAATATCTTCAAGCGGTGACTCTGACTGTCCAAATCATCAAGCAAATGAAGAACGATGCGAGTTGAAAGTAAGTTCGGGAACTACTTCGAAGTACAAATTGTACAATGTACCGGTACATGTATTGCTAGTTTGGTGTCGGCGTGCAGGAATACATGGGCTTTTTCCATCGACGCTTCCTGTGCTTGCACACATGGAGCAGCAACTTACCGGTACAGGTGAAATATCGTTCCCAATACACGAGGAAAGTGCAATCTCGTCTGTCCTTCATCCCAAAACAGAAGGCCGTCCTTAATCTGGAACGAGGCAATCACTCTCAACCGGACGGTCACTTCAAAATACGGAGGATTAGCAAGACGAAATTCGCGTTCGCGTTCGCTCTCCAAAGAAAGTCGAACTCAGTGACGAAATTCGCGTTATGAGAAGGATTAGCAAACAGAATTCGCACATGCATGATGTCGACACGACGTAGGCAGTACAGCGTGGTAAATTTATGACTGCCCTGACACGAATCCACGATTCGTGTTCCGACTACTTTTCCGAACGAAAAATGCGAAAGTTCGCAATCCAGTTCGCGAACTGAAAAATAGAGAGGTTAAGTTACACGTTTTTTGCCCTTTTTCAAAACGCGGTGCAAATCTCACGTTACGTGTAATTTTTAGAGGTTTAAAAGTTACACGTGCGACGTGACGTGAAATTTTGCCTGGCAGGATTCGGGTTTAGTTCGCACAAATATCAAATCTTCCAACAAACTTGATAAATCTCGATAAAATTCCGGAAACTCACACAAATTCGGTCAACTTACGTGCGGGACAGTCAACTCACGTAAAACACGTCAAATTTTACGTGAGTTTTTTCACTTTTGACGTAAAAGTTCACGGACGTAAGACTTTTACGTGAAACTTAACCTCTCACGTAAAATTTGACGTGTTTTACGTGAGTTGACTGTCCCGCACGTAAGTTCATGACGTGAGTTTTTGGAAGTTTCGCTTGGTTATTCCGACCGAATTTGTGTGAGTTTCCGGAATTTTATCGAGTTTTATCGAGTTTGTTGAAAGATTTGATATTTGTGCGAACTAAACCCGAATCCTGCCAGGCAAAATTTCACGTCACGTCGCACGTGTAACTTAACCTCTAAAAATTACACGTAACGTGAGATTTGCACCGCGTTTTGAAAAAGGGCAAAAAACGTGTAACTTAACCTCTCTATTGTTTGCGAACGCGAACGCGAATTTCGTCTTGCTAATCCTCCGTAGTAAGTCTCGCCAGTCTGCCGGTGGTCGTATCGAGTAGACTCTTCTACCAGCACAAGGCAGCAGTCGTACATCTACCACTCACTGCACTGCACTGCAGTACAACTACAAGTCAAGTCCAAAAGGAGCCGCCTGCGTCCGCAGACTCACGCTGCACAGCACGTAGACGTGGACGTGTTCAGTCCACGTACGTCAGTCACACGACAGCCCGCCGAAAAAAAGTTACGGTCGGGCTGAAAAATGTACGGTCGGTCGGGTGAGTCGAACCACAGACCTTCTTCAGTGTGGCCTTATATAAATATTGATATTACGAGGTCCGGACCGTTTTGAAACACATTTCTCAAAATGCGAAGACGCCACTGTAGCCATCCACTATATCCATACATCTTCATTCCTGAAGATGGGCCTTGCCCGAAAATTCGAATAATTTAATATCTCTTTTTCTAAAGAAAAGGTGACAGCACCGACGCAATCCACACAGTCAAGTAAGCCAATTTCGTAACCGAACGTTTTCGCTATCATGGGTAAGTACAGGGAATAATGGAAAAATGTCAAAATACAGCAATTTATAGAGCTTCAGCAAAAGCAAAGATCAAGAACCTCACGCTACACGTGTGGAAAAAATTAAATTCAGCAGAACAGGTCAAACACAGGGTGAAGGTGAAAAATGACTAAAACATAATGAAAACAACAGTGAGGAGAAGCATTCCTGACACTTTCATGAGGATTAGCGCCAAACAACTGCAGTGACAAAACATTCTCCTTCTGAACACATAGTTCAGGGGACAACTTACGGATATATAACGCTTCCAAAACAGACAAATGTAATACAGATCTGCCACGGGCCAAAACTGAGAAAACATCATCTCTGTACAACTTACGCGTTATAATATCTATAAGTTGTCCCCTGAACTATGTGTTCAGAAGGAGGATGTTTTGTCACTGCACTGTTGCTTGGTGCTAATCCTCGTGAAAGTGTCAGGAATGCTTCTCCTCACTGATGTTTTCATTATGTTTTAGTCATTTTTCACCTTCACCCTGTGTTTGACCTGTTCTGCTGAATTTAATTTTTTTCCCACACGTGTAGCGTGAGGTTCTTGATCTTTGCTTTTGCTGAAGCTCTATAAATTGCTGTATTTTGACATTTTTCCATCAATTTATTCCCTGTACTTACCCATGATGAGAAGGGAGCGAAAACGTTCGGTTACGAAATTGGCTTACTTGACTGCGGATTGCGTCGGTGCTGTCATGTCACCTTTTCTTTCGAAATTGGATACGCCTCCAATCTCTTTTTCTTTTATCGATTGGTGTAGCCCAGAGACCATTTGGAGAGTGAAGATGTATGGATATTACGATGTCAATAGGAAAAAAAAGACCTCGGCTTTGCGTCGGTCTTTTTTACTCGGCTTTATTTTTTATTTGCTATACTGACCAATTGCCAAGTACGAAGTCAATATTAGATTTATCACGACAAACAGTCAGTATTTCAAATTCCAGAACGAAAACCTCATGAATCCCGGTTTTATGACTGTACAACCGTTGCACAATCACCTACTCATACGACCATGTATGGGCTACTGCATGCTGCTCGGATTGTGCACAACCCGGCAAAGTACAGCGAACATGCACTAGGCACCGTTCTAGTGCACAACCGATAAGCAGTCAAATATAAGCAGTCAATAGCCCAAAGGAGTGAAATATGCAGGAATATTTGACCGCTTTAGGTATAGCGATAATCAATGGAAGTCAAACTTAGTCAATAGGGACCTTTCTCATTTGCTACGAATCGAATGCGAAACGAAAGTTTGATTCGGCTCGTAATCGTTTCGTTGAAAACAGATTCAGGTTTCGCAAGTCGTCATGCAAATGTGCATGGCAACTACGAATATGGCCGGTAGCTTGGCGTACCGGTGTTTACACGCATACGTGCATGGATCATGGAATCAAGGGAAAAAAGGTGTACCTGGCAAAACATGTGTACCTGGCCAAATAAATGTGTACCTGATGGGTTCGGAGCACGCCACGAATGAAGAGGCTTCCATTCTATTCGTGAAAACGAGCTCTCCGCAGGGACTCTGACGAATCCTTGAACCCAGGTGACGAATCAGCATTTGTTTCGTATCCGTACGCGTGGTGCGAAAGGTCCCTAATACTAAGGGCATGTTCGATTGGTAAGGATCGGGTTCCAGATCCTTCAGATTCAACTGAACACTTAATTTTGGACCTTGACTGTTGCCATGTTGACAATCAATGAATGGCGCTCACAAGTCACCCAAAAGGGTGAACATCGTACCAAGAGTACATAACTACAGTTATGTACTCTTGATCGTACTCATCGCGTGCGTCCTACAAAAGTCAACAAGCTCTATCTCAATCCATGTGTGCATACCACAATGTGTACAAAAATGAAGTTTACCCGCCATATACGCACAAAGGTCACGTTTGGATCCGGTCAACCCTGCTCCCCGAGGTGGATTGACCGGATCCAAATCCGAAGGATCTGGATTCGACCAATCGAAAGGGTGCGAATCCAGTGGATCCGGATCCCGATCCTACCAATCGAACACGCCATAAGAGTGATAAAATAATTTTGTTATCATACATTTAGGGAGGTCTGAACCGGTCCAGGGCCTAGGGCGAGTCGTGGTCGTGTATTCGATGGAGGAGATGGGGTGGATGAGCAAGTCCTGCCTACATAAAAGACATTCACTTGTCAACAGGTGTTTCAGAGATCCGGGAGTAAAACCAGATCCAGGCACGTGCCTGAACATACATGTACAAATGCAAGGTCTGTAAAAACATGTTTTTTATGCCAATCAATAGTTTTGCCAACTTTTTGGAGCCGCTTTTCATTGACAAGCCAATAGAGTCTCCGGGTTAAAACTATTTTTTGGTGAAGTATGCACAAACTGTACGTACGGGCCGTACGGTTTTACGGGGTGGTGATGTCCTGCTAACGAGCGCTAACGACAGGGGACGTGCTCGGAATTAGATCTGTACGGTATTATAACGCAAAGATCCGAACCCTCGACCAAGATCCTATGCAGAGCTGGATTTTTTTCTTTCTCTATCTGTGCTTTTCTTGCCTACGGGTATAAAAAATGACGTGCAGACTGCAGGTATATGCAGGAAGCATTGTGGTGCACTTCCATTCAGAGTGACTTGTCGGTCGCACGATCACGATTCACAGATACCCCGGTTCTGCTGTGGTAAGATAGGATCTTATGTACAAAAGATCCGCCTCATGTGACAGATTGCATTTCACATCTAGTTGCACAATCGAATTAAACACTCGCACGATCGAATTTTTAAACAAACACGCACACATTAACACTGATCAGTCTCATGCTAGAAGCTAGCAGTAGCCAAAAATGAGAATGCCATCAACAGGCAACGGTCAAAGCAGCAGCTCCATACAAACCAATACAAGGAAATGTGCATAGCACACTAAAAGATTCCAATGACTGCAAACTAGGACAACGTTGCACGCAGTTGTAACCATCATAAAAGTATTCTGGTAATTCAAACAAAGACACACGACTCGGACAGGACAGTCTTGCATAGCAAGACGGAGGGCAGTTGAAGAAGAAAGATAGAAAGAACGAAAACGAACAGACGAAGAGGTTGAGCAGGGGAGAAGAAACAACCCCCGCATGAATTCGTCAAGAAAGCTTCCTGTCAACAGCAATAAAAATAATGTCTTACAAACGCGCTGAAAGGCGGAGAGAGTACTCACGACACGCAGGCAGCGTTGGTAAGATGGTGGGAAGCGTTAGTCGATTTGCATCGGAGTAGACGGATGGCCACGAGGTGATGCTGCAGCATGCATGCAGAGGCTGCAGTCGTTACACTTTGCGCTCGGTGATCTTCTGGTGCAGCGTTCCGGCGTCTTGCGCCGTCTTCACGCGGATCAGGTAGGTGGCGGTGGCATTATCGCTGTTCTTGATGTTTAGCGGTGGATTGGGCATGGTGACCAGCATGATATTGTTCTTGTTCAGCGTCACCGGCGTGCTCGCACCCAGCATCACGTTGAGCAGAATCGTGCCCAGGCGCGTGAAGTTGCGCATAAGCAGCTGGAAACGCACGCACACACACACAAGCTAGTTGAGAACGACCGCATGGATCACCTTTTCATGCTGCTTACAAGTTACAAGTCATGGATGTTGGCTGCTCGTAAATGCCGCAAAGGATTCTTGGAAGGATTATCAAAATTAGGGGTGAAACGAGTATATCGAATACTCGAGCCCACGGCTGTTCACGTGCAGGCACTTATCAATATGGCGTCGTTCGGTGCGATTTATGTAACATTGTGCGAATAGTACAAATACGCGATGAGTTTGCGGTTTTGCAAGAAACTCATGTCGATCCTCGCGTGGTTCCACGATTTAGGACGCGAAACCAAGATAAACGTTTTGAAAGCGCTCGAGCGAGATACTCGACTTTCGGCAATTTGAGAGAGAAAGAGGGTGGAAAGGTGTCCTGGCCTGCCCAGTTAGCTGTCTTTCCGCTTCAAACTTGCTCGAAGTACTCCTGGCAGTCTGGAGATTGATCTCGCCAGTGATTGTCAGCCTCTGCTTGGCGTGCTCGCGTGTACAACATTCAAGTTAGACATTTCGTAATCGTTCAACGCACAATAGGGTAGATATCACAATTTCAAGCTCACTTGGCCGGCTGCTGTCTTCTTCTATAATATCCCACATGCCGACTAAGCAATTTACAGCAGGAAGCAGCCTTCTACACTCAACAGCAACTAAAGGGCCACACCACTTTGTCTTCCAAATCAAGAGAAAACAGGCTCCCGACTCGTCGCGCGTATTTAGAAGTTCACGCGCGTATTCTAATGACACTTGGGGAAGACAACCAGAGGATAGTCCTCTACCTGGGAAAAAATCGATCTAAGCTGGGAAAAAATCGGGAAGGGCTTCTCGGAGCCGAGTTTGTCAGCGACGACACAAGGAGTATTCCAGAACGAAGCCAAAGTCGCACGACACAGAACAAATGTTTCTTGAAGGAAAGGCAGTCATGTGAGGTACGAGCGGAAAGCTTGAAACAAGACGCAGATGATCAGCGTGTTCCCCGGGCTGTCCGAGCTGAGTAGTCTCCAATATCCAGGGGAAACCATGGCCTACTCGTGTTCTGACGATTTGAAAATTCAAATTTTCTTGCCATTGAAGCCCAATCGAGACTTTCGGCGGCCATATTGTTCAGTGGCGTGAAATCGCACAAAAAAACAGCCGTGAGCCTCGCTCGAAAATTTGAAACGAGCAAATACTCGTTTCGCGAAATACTCGAAGTATTCTATGTACAGTGTATTGTATGCATGTACAACAAGCATTTCTGTTACTCTGACTGGTACTAATGGCCCAAGCAAGCGCGAAATTATTGCTTGTCCCTACTTACCAGCTAAAGACAGTACTTCAGACTATTCCCTGCACTAGGCTGCATGCAAGACTGCATGGGTATCGGGTGTACTACGTTCGGTTCTGCGAGACTGTGTGCAGTGCATTGTTTTATGTTGTCTGTAAAATATTCACTCGAGTCCCCAATTTTGGCACTCGTTTCACCCCTAATCAAAATGTAAACAATAGTGGGAATTGTAGGAAGTGGTCCAAATTCAAACTAGCAGATACCCACACAGACAATAACGAATGACAGGCAACACACAAACAAGGACAGAGAGATTGCTTGCTACACAGACAGACAGACAGACAGACAGGCCGTCACACATACGCACACCGGCACGCACACACAATAGAATTAGTCATTGTTTTATTTACTTGTGTCTTGCCATCCATGTTGATGATCTTGAACATGCCAAGCCCAAGCTCCGAAAAACCGTCTTCCTTCTTGTAGAACAGCTTAGCGCGCGTTGAGTACAGTACATCAGCATCCTGGTCAAACTCCTGGGGCTTCATGTCGTCCTTCTCGATGTCTGGGTTTTCGTCATCGTCCCCACCACAGCCACCTGCAGCCACAACTTCATTGTCAGCTGTTTGACACACAGACACAGACACAGACACACACACACACAGGTGTTATTATCAACATTGAAGTACGCTTGGGACAAGAAACACCGCGGCTACTTAGCACACTTTCCTGCTGCCTATAATGGTACGTCATAATGGTACGTCATATGAGAGCTCCATACCCAATCGGGTTTTTCGATTTCCTATCCGATTATCCACGAGGTCCACGGGACGGGTAAACGGGCATTTGGATACTACCCATGCACAGCCCTAATATCAATGGCTGAGTTTTTGCCAGTTTCTCTTAAGCGAACCCTACATTTACACTTAGTTACGCAGACGTTATGCAATAGCCACCCCAAGTTCATTTCTGGCGATGTTGGAGTAACGGAATCAAGCTGGGACAACACCAAAATATATAGCCGCCTGTCCCGGCAGGTAACAGTCTCCTGCACTCCAGGGACCTCACACATATACATGTCGCTCGCCTGCGTATCCCTATCTCAGTCTGCATTCCAGTGTTTCCCCACATGTCCCACTGGCCTGGGTAGCAGCAGCACATGGAAATCTTCTCCATAGTTGCCATGCCCACCCAGGCCCTTCATCTAGTCCACTACTAAACGCACCATGCCCCTTTAACCCGTGATGATATTGATGAGCTATTCCCGTGTGTGACTTTATCACTACCTTTCTTGCCGGTGAGCAGGAATGATGGGATGGAACTTGCTCCACCACCGAGGCTACCAGACAGGAGGCCAGAGCCAATCCCAGAGCCAATGGTAGAACTGCTACCACTGGCGCTTGCGGACGATGATGATGATGAGACCAGGCCACTGAAGAATCCGGAGGTGACAGAAGTAGCCGGAGGCAGATTCATCAGGCTGGAGCTGGCCGATGACGTGTTAGCTGAACTCTGCACACACCGACAAAAGCACGCAGACAGACACACGGACACACACGCAGACAGAGAGACAGACACAGACACACACAGACACACACACAGGTAAATATTCACACAGACACATAAAAATAAGAAATTCTTGGCTCTCCGCCGGAGTCTAGTCTAACTATACACTTAACCCTTTACCGTTTGTACGTACAAATTTCGACCGCTCGCGGTCGATGACTTCTATGCGCACAGCGCTGGACTTGTTCACCGCAGAGAGCTGGGATTTCCCCTACTGGTAGCCAAGATGTACGCGCAGAGGGTGCCGACAATTTTTGAGGGTGCCGACAATTTTTTGCAATATAAAAATCGCGAAAATCGCGACTTGAAAAATGCGCTTTGGGAAAAGTGCGTACCCTGCGACTTTTGGTATTGCCTGCAGATTATTTCGACTTTTGCTTGAGCTGGCCTCCCGACTGTCTGCCCACGGCTGTCCTACGCCTTGGATACTGCGACATTTCAAAAGATGGCCGCGATCGCGCGTCTCCCTGGCGATCGCGTACGCGGCACCACGCGGCCGCAACGGCGTGGCTTGTATTCAAAATTTGAAACACTCAAAAATACTGGTTTGGTTCATCTGCGCTGCTTATTTGCTGCTCGTGGCTGGCTCTCTGGGTCGCGAAAAGCAAGCAAAATGCTTCCACCGAAAAGCAGCTTTCTCCTCGTGCAAGAAGAAACAAAATCGACACAGAAATTTTGAAGCTGGCTTTTTTTCTCTGTGTCCTTCTTCTACGATCCGGTACGAGTCGTCCATTACTCCTTTGGTGGATCTCGCCCTGCTTGTGGAGCGCTTATCTTCTTTCGTTTAATTGTCTGGAGCTGGTCTTCATTTTCTATTCACTCGTTTGTCCTTGGTCGACATTTCCCACACATTCGCAGCTTGGGCCGCAGTGGTTTTCGCGCGGGCCACGGCCCTCGAACTTCCTTGGCTATGGAGGGCCACATCAAGAAGCTGGAGCAGGTGTGCAGGATTAGTGGTGGAAAATTTACGAAACAGGACCGATCCACCCGTTATTCCGTTGCCGAACGTGCCGGTGAGATTCAAGCATGCTTCAAAATCAATGTATTGAATGACCAGCCTGGCATACACCCTGAGTTTTTCTGCAGAACATGTAAGAAAGTGCTAGATAGGTACAGTAAGGCGTCTAGCTCGTTTGTGACTCGTGGTGGTGGTTGTGGTAGTAGTAGCATAGAGTGGGTGGCTCACAAACGTACTGGTTGTTCTGTCTGTGACACCCTGAGTCGTCCTGGCAGAGCAGCCACCAAGGACACCACCCCAAGACTGATTGATAAGTGTGATGATGCTAGTGAATGTCCACAGGCTACCCAGGATCAAACCGTCAATCCACAATCAAGTCATGAAAAACAAGCAGGCCCACAGACAAGTACAGACGTAGACATAGACATCGAAGACCAGAGTGGTGTAGATGTAGACATAACTGAAGTACAGAAGAAAGCCACTCCTCCTTACCAAGCTGGTATTGCACTGGATGGAAGCCGCTTCACACACGATGTCAGTTATGCTGCATGCCCTATCTGCAGATTAGTTACCGATCCAGCTATAGAGGCACCTTGTTGCAAGCAGGTATTTTGCTTGCCATGCATCTACCAGTGGCTCCAGGGGTCTACCAAATGCCCATACTGCCGGTCAGCCCTGATGGCGTCACAGCTTACATCACCGCACCCCTTTGTAGGCCATGCTCTAGCGGCAATGCTGGTGCACTGTGATTTCAGGGAATCCCCCCTTGTAGGGTGTCGACAGGTCTTGTCCTTGGCATCCTTGGTTGATCATGTCCGGGAATGTTCACGTAACCCTGGTAACAGTCTTGAACCCCACCCTACAGTTGTCACGGGTTCCTTTTCGGTATCTGACGTGCTTTTAACCACACCACAGCACACACGTGGCGCAACATCAACGGCACTGCTTTCACACTTGGTAGGCTGCATGTCTGAAGGTGGGACATTAGAAGTGAGGTCCGGTTCTCGGGGTAGGCCACAGACATGGAAGAGGGTAACGAAGGGTGAGAAGGAGGCATCAGATGTGACCACTCGAACTTTGGAGCGCAGGGGTAGTGAGCTGAAATCTTTGGCAACTACTGTTGCCAGCAGTTCTGGTAGTGCCCAAGAGCAACTTCAGCATGACCTCAAAGTCATGGCTAAATCAGACAGGGACAGCCTTTTGACGGATGCAGGTCTACTTTGCACCGGGGAAGTGTCTGCTCTAGCACTGAAGGCAGACCTGCATCTGACGTGGTATGCACTGAGGAAGTCGAGGGTATGGTTGAGGGAGTTTGGTATCTTTTTGCAGTCAGAGAGGTTGATGAGGGCAGACATCCGATCAGAGCTCCCTTTTGAGTTTCTAGCAGAGAAGGTCCCAATGACAGACAAGGCTGGGAACATCACCCTGTGTGCCATGGTTGCCATTTTAGATCTTGTCGGCCTTGTCACCCACTACCTTTCTGCCATGCATGAGGCTGGACAGTTGACCTGGCATGATGGAGCAGTCCCCAAGGACACCATCATTGTCAAGATTGGTGGTGACCATGGAGGTAAATCCTTCAAGATGGCTTTCCAAATCGCCAACCATGTCCACCCTAATGCACTTGAGAACACCGTTCCCTTTCTTTTGTTTGCAGCAAAAGATTCACCAGCCAACATGGCCACTGCACTTCAGCCCTTTCAGGCACAGATTCGTGAGCTGAGCACCATGACATTCATGTCGTACAAGGTGAAGGTTGTGTTGTTTGGAGACTATGAGTTCCAGACGCACAACTACGGTCTTTCCGGTAGCAGTGGTGTGTTCCCTTGCTTGCACTGCCACACTGCAAAGCGTGACTTCCAGCAGTCACCTGCAGCTAGGACTCAGCCTGTACTGCCCCGGACTCTGACCACACTTGCACAGAATCACAAGGAGTTTCTTGAGAGTGGGGGTGTTGCTTCAAATGCAAAGAAATACTTTAATGCTGTGAGGCCATGCATTCTGCCCGTGCCAATTGAGGATGCATGCATCCCCTCATTGCATTTGGATCTTGGGATATTCCCATACCTATTTGAATGCATGTTACAGGAAACCCAATCCCTTGACGTCGCACTAGCCAACCACATGCCTGACATTAACTGTGATCTGAATGGTCGTACCTTTAATGATCTAGTTAAGATGAACAGTGACAGGAAGTCTAAGGAACTAGAGCTAGCTACCATTGATACTAAGTTGGATGACATGATGCAACTGCTCACGTTCAATGCCATGCACCTTCAACAAGCAGCAGGTACTGAGGTGCAGAGAATACAAGTAGTGATAGGCCAGCTACAGCTACAGCACAGACAGCTATCTGAACAGCAGAAACAAATCAAAGCAGAGCTTGATGTGCTCAAAGGTCACATCGACAGTGTCAAGACTTTGACAGATGGGCCATGCCTTTCATCCTACGACGACACACTACAGACTGTCAACATCAAACGGCAACAGTACCATGGCGGAACCTTTGTCGGCAACCACGTTCACCGTATGTTGAGTCCCGACAAAGATGGCAACTTTGCCTTGGTCCACAAGCTTGTCCAGGCTCCTTCCAAGGCTCTGGAGAAGTACGAACTTGGTGCCGACCACCCCGTCACAGACATGGCTGCTTCCTTGGCTGCACGATACACAGCACTCTTCACCACCTTTGCGAAGTGTCGTGCAGTCTACAACCTTGCCTCAGCTGTAAATGAAGACCAGCTCCACCAGCTTCAATGCCACATCCAGAGCTTTATGACCTTGGTGAGAGAGCAGATCGTGAAGCGCCATCTGGGGAACATCACTCCCAAGTTACACCTGCTGGAGCAGCATGTCGTTCCACAGATGACCCACTTTGGCTGTGGACTGAGTCTTCTGTGTGAGCAAGGTGGCGAGGCTCTCCATGCAGCGTTCAACACTTTGGACAAGAAATGCAGCGCTGCATGTCCACTTCAACGACTGCTCTCCATCACTCGCCAGCACTACTTGAGGACTATCCCCAAGTTACAGAACGAAATGCCTTCTGCTAAGAGGAGAAAAGATCGTCAGGTCTAATATTAATTCGAATCATTGCAAGGAGAAATAGGCCGATAAATAACTGTTTTACTTATTATTTCGTTGTTGCTCTTCGGAGTGGGAAAGGGGTCCATCATTGCACGCGTGATGGAATGGGTGTTCTAAGCGTGCCGTCTCAGATGAAGACGAAAGAAACAAAATTTCTCCTCATTTCTCCTCATGCGCTTCAGCGCAGCAACCAAATAATTTGAATTTCCACAATCACTCGTGCATGAAAACTCAATCGCGTGCCCACGCGGTATACGCGCGTCCCGTATCCAAGGCCGTTGCTACAGGTCGTCGCCATCTTTATAGATGTCGTGCTGAAAACAGCCGTGTGCCCTGCTGTGCAAGCCATGGACGCGGAGCAAGCTCTTTCGCTTCTAGAGACCCTTCCTGACGACTCTGTCGCTGCCTCATCCAGCGAAGATGAGTTTGTGGAGCCAGACAATCCTGTTGAAAATATTTATTCTGACGACGACCGCGACGATGACATGGCGAGTGAAAGCAGCGCCAGTGAGAGTGACATGGATGTCACAGACGACAGTGTTGCTGAGATGAGTGCCACTAATGGTGGAAGGGGACGTGGCAGAGAGAGAGAGGATTCGGCCGTGGAATAGGCCGTCGTCACGGTAGAGGTCGTGGTGCACAGGGACTATGTACTGTACAGTACAGCCAGCGGTGCAACCTGCACTAGCCGATATTTGCAATACTTGGGACAATGCTGACACCGCTGTGACTGGTAACACTCCTGCATTCCACCCAGAGAACGAACCTGGTATCCACTTACCCGAGGGAGCCACTCCAGTGCAAGGATCTGATTTATTGCATATTGCGACAGTTTGCCCGATCGGCAATAAATTCAAATAATTATTAGTGCTAAATAGTGAAATCTCTGTTCGGTTTCTGGACTTGAAAGTTGTTGCATCGCATTCCTGAGGGTTTTTACTTTCAGAATCACCCCATTTTGTACATAATAAAAGTGAAAAATAAAAAAAAGTTACGGCATGAACAATGACGGTCGGTTTTTGCTGTACAAATACCTAAAACGGTAAAGGGTTAAGAATGTATGTTGAAAAATCACCATGAAGCCTCCAAGTGCCTCTAGCATTAGGCTAGAACACAGTGCATGGCAGGCTACCTAAACTTCACCTGAATTCTGTGATGAAACATAAGTGCATGGTTGTATAACATGAACGGACTCAGATGGAGATTTTTTTCACGGTTCGGTTGAGACTCGGCTGGAAGCCGGGCTTTCCGCATCCGTAGGAACGCCACCACCCTTCAAGGATCAAGGCGCAGATGGAGAGCCAAGGTTTAATTTATACAAAAGAGAAATGTTATCGCATGAGCTGATTGTTTAGTAACTGGTGGTGTTAGTGGACAGTATAGCGTAACTTGTAGAACATACGCTATTTTAAAGTAGGGGTGAAAGTTGACACTGAGATCCCGAGTTCGAGTACTCTGATTTTCTCCGATCGAATATTCTTGATATCCTAAGAATTCGCACACCAAAGGCCTTAAAAATCATGTGATACAACCCTGAGTGAACCGATTAACGCAATTGGCAGTCCTTCTCTGGGTGTATTAGTTGGTGGGTCATTTCGACTCTCTCTACTGGTGAACAAATGTTCACCACACAGTCTGCACATCAATATCTGCCGACTGCTGCTCTGAAACTGCAGATTTCTGTGGTAAATGCATGTAACATGTATGAGCGAGAACTCTGATTTATTCCGAGTACGATTATATTTGAAAAATCCAAACGAGTATTCGAATATTCGGTATAATTGTTTCACCCCTATTTTAAAGTATTTTTCTTCCATGTCGTTCGGATAGCATGTCCAGGCTGGGAACAAAATTAAAATGCACACCAATGAAGTCTTGGTATGCTGAAGATCTGGTGGACAGTTCGAGTGTACAGAATAGTGTAACGGTAAGACCACATATTAATCTAACTCATACACCAGCTCCACTGGCTCAGCACCCCCAGGATAGATAGACCTTATGCCCGTTGTACAGCTCCACGAAATCCCGTAGAATCCCGTAGACCCGGTTGGGTGTTCATTGTGTGCTATGCATGCGCATTTTGACCAATTTCAGCCTCATAATTTAATGGCAAGCAATCGCTTTTCCAGCTTCTTCACTTTGGTTAGAACTAATGACTAGCTAGATCTTTGTCAGAAAAAAGGTTTTTGTATGAAATGCCTTCAGGGCCCATTTCTTAGTGGAAATAGGAGAAAACACAATAGGGTCCTGCACATTCAACACCAAACCGGGTCTACGGGATTCTACGGGATCTGTACAACTGGCATAAGGCTTATTGTACTTGCAGCCAGGATACAGAATTAACCAAGAGCCCATACCTTTAGAATGGATGTGGGGAAAGTGATGCCCGAGGACGCTAGCTTCAGACCAGAACCGATAGTGGACGACGATGGCGATGCCGTTGAAGACGATGCGGAGGAAGTCGAGGACGATGGCGGCACACTAACTGCCGACGACAGAGAAGACCCACCGGCCGTGAACGCAAACAGACCACCGGTGGCCGTGGAGCTGGACGTTGACGAGGAAGCGGTCGTGTCGGAATCGGCCTTGATCGGTGCGAACGTGACGAGCTTCGAGGGCGTGTCGGATTTGGACGTTGACAATGAGATGCTTGAACTACTACCCACAACAATACTGCCACCGTTGGTTGCAGCGGCAGCGCTATCCGTGCTGCGGGTCAGGCCTAGGCCCACACCACCGATACTTCTGCCACCGCCGCTACTGCTGCTGATGCTCGAGGCAGGAGCGACTGAAGCCACCGTGAACGCCGGCTTTGCAGTACCAGCCGCTGCAGCTTTGGTTTGCAGCTGTGCGTCCAGCTTGGCCAGATGTTTCTTGTAGTCGTCGAATGTTGGTGTAAAGTCGGCCAGCGGATCTTGCTCGTGATGCTTCTGGATCCAGTTGACGAAAGAGGTGTTCAGAGCGGACAGGCGCGCTTCATACTCGTCCTGTGTCAGCGCATTCTTGGTCGACAAGGACGCAGACTGAGATGACACTGGTGCTGAGAAAGCAATGGGGGAAGAGCAGCAGCAGAAACAGCAACAGCAGCAGCAGAAACAACAGCAGAAGCAGCAGCAGCAACAACAACAACAGAGCACAGAAGAATATCATTTACAACACGTGGGCAACTATCCGCAAGCGGAGAAGCTCAAGTAGAAGGTGATAACAGCTGAACCCAGACCATTAACACCAGGCCAGGAAGGTGCTCAGCTCTGACTTATCTTTGTGTCTGATAACACAAGTCTGATTGGTCTCCACACGTTTATGTACTCATACCAACAAACTGACCGATGTCAAAACGTCACCTGCAATACCTGGCCAATTACTATAGACCTTGCAGACTGAAATTAAATTTCAGCTGTCTGCTCACCAAGGAAGCCAAAGCTGACTATGGACAAGCAAGTACAGTGCTGCACAATGAAATCCGATCGAACGAGTGAATGGCACGCCGGGCGCTGTGCAGGCCTACACCTTGGGAACACTGGGATGGGGAACTGGCTGCAGGGTGCAAACACGATTTACACGTGATCGGATTTCACTGAGCAGCGCTGTAGCTAAGACACCGTACCGGCAGCATGTGCTACAGACGAGGCCGGCTTAGCAGGGGCCAACGATGCCAAACTAGCAGATGTCATTCCCAGAGACGACAGCGGTGCTGAAGTTGACGAGCCGAACGTCTTTGATTCCCCGGTTGCTCCGGGCAGCGCCGACTTGGACGAAAAACCTTTGAATCCCGCAAACAGACCAGACGTCTGAAGAAAGACACACAGCAACAAACAGAAGGAGACTGGTATTGATAAGTCAATTCTAACCGCAATTTACCAATGCAAGGGAGATGAAAGGGTGGATGAAAAAAACTGCGTTACTTAGCATCCCTGCAGCAGTGCATAGTACAGAGAAACATTATCACTCCCGGCTACAGCAGCAGTAGACTGTAAAGAAGACAGTCTACGTGGAAACTCACAACTCCAGGGGAAAGTACGATACTTCCACCCACATACCCTGCAGCAGCCAGGTCAAGGATCGAGGATGAAATGAGCCAACACAGCAGAATATATAGCATGATACAAGACACCAGTGCCAGTGGGTCGAAAGATAGAGCCTTGGGCGCAAGCAAATGTGCGAGTTTCGCAGGTGACAACATAGAGAACCCTGGTTGCAGGCGAAAGTGTGAGAAGTGAGTGTGTGAACAAGGTGCAATGTGATGGAAGTGTGAACTACAGTTGTACACGGTGAAATCCGACCCGAGGTGCATATTTGCATATTCGGCGCCCTCAACATGCACGGCCATCGACGCCGTGGTAGTGGTAAGAATGTGGCTGGAAATAGACACGAACAAGTACAGGGATGTGATGGGAACTGGTCCAGGGCGTCAGTTTTGCACTTCAGGTTGGATTTCATTGAGCGCAACTGTAGCAAGTGGAACTAAAACGGCTAATAGCCAGTGTGAAGCACCACTGTAACAGCAACATGGGCATCTGCTACATGCTCACTCACTGACTCACAGCAGCTCACACAACAGCACAAACACCACACACACACACACACACACACACACACACACACACACACACACACACACACACACACACACACACACACACACACACACACGTACCATTGGACGCCCATCGCGGGAGGCGATGATAGCGATGCTACAGCAGAAGCCATAGCAGCTTGTGCTGGGATTGCACCATTCAACAGGTTGCAAGGCTGAAGAATTGACCGCCACTATTCAGCCTGGTCTACACCACACAACTATGAAGTGGCTTTTTCTGGCCAGTGAATCCTTACTTTTTGGTCTTTTTTTTATTTTTTCCCGCACACACATCACACCACATACTCCGGCATGCACTGGCTGTTGGTAACCACCCAGGAGAATGAAAGAAAAGTCAGGAAGAGTCTGAGAAAGAGAAGAAAGACGTGTGTGACCATAATCGTCGGGAATCGAACCCGCAACCTATCGATTGGAACACACACACACACACACACACACACACACACACACACACACACACACACACACACACACACACACACACAATAGCACACACAGTAGCACACCCAGTAGCACACACAATAGCACACACAATAGCACACACAATAGCACACACACACACACAATAGCACACACAGTAGCACACACAACAGCACACACGCACAATAGCACACACGCACACAACAGCACACACAGACACAGACACACACACAGGCACACAACTTACACTGCTGGATTCGGAATCAGCAGTATTAGTATCGCTGGTGGTGCACACACGCACAATAGCACACACGCACACAACAGCACACACAGACACACACAGGCACACAACTTACACTGCTGGATTCGGAATCAGCAGTATTGGTATCGCTGGTGGTGTTTCCAGCAAGACGGCGCTTTGCTTTGACAAACCTGGATTGGCAGCAAAATGGAAAGGAGGAATATGCTACTCATAAGCAAAGGGAAACCAAGCAAAACAGACCATAACAATGGGAGAGAGAAGGGGGGAGGGGAGAGGAGGAGAAAGGCAGAGAAGGTCTCTATTGCTACTTCAGTTTTTCTTATAAAACCATGAAAAAAGCAACAACGCATACAGGTTCCCGAAGCGACAGTAGTGCTGAAATATATTGTGGACCCATTTCAGATTAAACTTGCGCCCCCGGATGGAGAGGCAAGGATTTATAGGAAGAAAGTAACTGGCAGTGCTAGTGGACATTATAGCGTAACTTGTAGTTCATTGGTCCTTGTCTTCTTTCTTCCCATAAACTTGCGACCGTTCATAAATTCTTTTTTTTGGAGTATAATGAAGGATTACCAACCACCCGTAAAGAATGGAAGCATATGCTGAAGCAGGGAATCTGTGGAAATTTGTTGTTGAATCGTGCCCAAATACCCTGCAATGCAGCTAAGCCTATATACCACTGGTGAATGTTTGTGAGCGATAGAGGAGGATTCCAGAGTATTCCAGGAAAACTATAGTTCTGTTGACATGGGAATATGTTTTACTTGCAGCTGTACGCCGGGATAGTTGGACCACTAAACGCAATACAAAAATCTGGGAAAAATTCCCGCAAAATGGAAATGGTCAGTAAACAAAAGACCTGAAAGTGCCTGGTAACACCACTAGTGTCCATTGAGCATAAAATGGCACATCAAAAGTGTACTGCAACAGTCTTAGACAGGGGGCGTAGCTGGTCCCCCTTTTAGGGGGGGGGGGGGGGCAAGGCCGTATATGTGTAGGATGGGTGGTGCATGCCAAGGTCATAATGTGCATGCTGAACCTAGGTCGACATTTTTAGGGGGGGGGGGGGTGCACGTGCCCTGTCCTCCCCCCTGCGGGCTACGCGCCTGGTCTATAACCAAGCCAGCATGTACGGCACACAGTGCTGACCACAGCACACGCATAACATGGCAAAGAGAGAAAGCCAGAGACCAAGCAACATGGACAGCGCCTATCCTTGACGGAAGGCCTGTTCAACGCAAACAGCCGTGCGCGGAAAAACTTACGTGCGCTTGGCGAGTTCCTCCTCGCTTGCTCGCTCCGCCACGCCTCCATCCTAGAGAGCATAACACAAGCAGCCAAAAAGACATACAGTAAAACTACAGTACACACTACAAGTCTGTCCACAAAAAGAATACAGTGTTTTCTGAGCTATGCAATTATGGCCAGTAGTAGGGTACTGTTTCAGGCAGCACTGGAAGAGCTCATCCTCAGCGCACAAGTTGCAGCACACGAAACATCTACCAGGCAGGCTACACCACGCGTCACATCCGTCATCGGCAGTCTTGAACAATATGATAGCACCCACCTAGTGTGGGACGGCTGAACTCATACAAGCAAATGCACACTCATTGCCTCATCACAGCCAGCTGCACTGCACGTGTTCAGCTAGGCACATGTCTTCAAAATCAGGTGTTTCGAGTGGCAAGCAGTGTTTTGACGAAATATTGAGATAGTTTTGCTTGCAGGAACCCGCTACAGATCCACTTGTTCACGACTATCCGGTAATACTGAATGCCTGGGTACATCAGCATCGTGTCACTAGGTCGTGGATACCTGACGCTAGCGTTCATGCCGATTCAAATCCACACCCTTAGCTCCCCGTGGATCCGTGACCGCATAATATGCATGCCGCCTGGTTCGCCACGCATGTCAGCCTGGAGAACTTCTCCTTTCTACCAGGAGTACAAAACCTCCAAGAGTGTGAAACTCCACCATGGGTACTGTCCTGACAGAAAAAAAGTTCAAGTTGACGTCATTTTCATGATGCAACGCGCAGTGCACACATATCAACAGACGTCTCCTGAACCTTTGGGAAACTTCACTCCTCACCTCCGATAGTGATCTCTTCACTTTATTGGAGTTGAGGAAAGTTTCATTAATGTGTCAGTGGATGCGTTGGAGTTTGCAGACAATAGGGAGGTTCCGGAGTACGATGTTTCGTGCCAAAATCCGTAGAGGCGCTACGGAATTTTTATACGTCGTTTTTGAGCAGTGAAATATTCCGGAGTACGGAACTTATGTGTTTGCCGTCATTGCCTAGGTTACGATCGCAAACACGTCACATTCCCGCGCTATGCCTTTTTATTTTGAAAATTTGTACCGAAATCAAAACTTCCCGCGGAAAATCGATGTTTCTCGTACCAAATTTGTACGCGAAAAATCTTTCTGCACCCGATGACGCAAAATCTCCATACGAAACATGGTTCGTGTGAAAGCCAGTCCACACGGATTCTCCGTGCCGAAAAATCGTATGGAGCACGCCTGGAAAAAATCCGTAGCGCCCATACGGATTTTGGCACGGAAAATCGTACCCCGGAACCTCTCTAATAAGAAAAGTTTTTCCTGAACCTGTGGTGGACAAAGCCCCAATCGATCTTGCACAAGCTAGTTCAAGGAAACATGTGCGATGCGTTGATACCCCGTAAAAATGTCGTAAATCACTGCTGCAAGGAGCATTGCAGCATAAAATGACGTCAACTTGAAATTCTGTCGGGACAAGAGTGTATGCGGGAGTTGCACACTCTTGGGAGGTTGTGTACTATTGGTGTCTACACTTCGCAAGTGCAGTTCAAACAAAATTGAGTGCAAATTCTATCTTCGTATTCTGATGAAAAATGATCGTGCAAATTCTTGTCGTGACTATTGACTGCATGCAGGTGTGATCCTGCAGTGCGAAGGTGGAATCTGATTTTGCACTGAATTCAAAAATCCATGTACCATACACCGAATGGATTTGCAAGACCTGGCAGAGGAGATATCCTCCATAACGTACAGATAATCAAACAAATCTCATCTCAACCTAGGATGGTCCATTGGCACTGCCTGGCCCACATGGTACAACATGCAAAACTTTCACCAAGTACTCAATATTGGATAAGTGATTTCGACTACAACGAACATCTAGCTGCTTCCACATCTCGTCCTCAAGAACCCCTCAATAATACCACCATTAATCATGCACATTCGCCAGCATGTTCAGATTCATGTCTACATGCAGCACTCAGCAAACAGGTGAGTGTATGCTACGAGAAGGTGGAAACTTGGAAACTAGTACAGCACACAGGTTTCCCCCAGGTAGGCATGGTAAGACATACAACCAGGGCGACTGACCGGCGCAGCTTTGTCGGCGGCTGACTGCCAATTATCTGGGGTCAGCTCATCTTCTGCCCGTCGCTTCATGGCCATTGCGACTCACTGACGAGAGCTAGAGAGGAAGATCTCCGACCAAAATACAGCTCGACAAACCCTGCTGGCTTTGGTCTGTGCAAATAATTTTTTTCGAAGTGGATGAATCGGCAAGTGCAAGTGGATTCTACGTAGCTTAGATCTACGTGGTGGTCGTAACGGATCTACACGCAGATTCTTCACGCTGTGTGCGCGCTATCTCAGTATCTGTGATCTCTGATGCCGCAGTGATGCGCGCCAGCCACTGCACTCAAAAGTCTGTGTCCACGTCGTTCACGTAGATCTACGTCACAGTAGATCTACGTGGGATTTGGAAGGTTTAGTTGTCATGGCCGTTCCCATGGCCCATGCCATAATTATTGTTTGCTGGTCCTGGATACATTGCATTGTATTACTATTACATGTACTTCCAAGACCAAGTATTATTAGCAAGAGTAGAGACTCCAAAAGTACAGTACATGAAAACCTGTTTTCATTGGCAACAGCAGAAACTGGAAATTCACAATCGTTCCCTCTGATGCGGGGGTATTTTGGAAAGTCGAATACCGTGACAGCACATCATGCTGTGGGAATGCCCTATTTTAAATTTAATAAATAATAATAAATGATTCTTCGTCTT